ACCCACTGTATGAAAAAATACTTAAAACTGAAAAAACTGCAATTTCTTGATTAGTTTAACGCATGAGCGTATTTTAACAAAAGTCCACAATAGTAAGTTGATCATTTATGAATAAACGAAAAACTCCTCATATGAGTAAGTACTCGTTAGTTTCTGTCAATACTTTTCTTCAAAATCTTCTTCGATTTCTTTCAATACCTTTCAATATCGTATCGAATATTTTTTGGTATCTCACGTCACTAGAAACGCCAACTGCCTCTGCGATATCCACTTGCCAGTGACCTCGATGACGCATTCTTACAATAATATTGCGAAATTCTAGTTCAAATGATATCTTTCTATGGTTAAATAGAATACATCATGATTAAATAACAGAAAAGACGAGAAAAGGTGTTTGTTTACAAAATGAGTAACGTACGTAAGTTATATGCGCGAAAGCAAAGAAAAAGAAGGAAAACATGCAGAGGGTCAAACGTTGACCTCAGCTATTTGTCGGCCCATAAACTTCCCACTTTATTATTATTTTCACTAGTTTTCGTTGTCCGATTGCCCAATTAATATCATTCAATTTATTAAGGTTTTTAGTTCAGATTCAAAAGTCAGTGGCACGAGCGAGTTTCGAACCCACGACCTTCAGCTTGATATCCACCAGTAGCGGCGTATCAAGCCGAAGGTCGTGGGTTCGAATCTCGCTCGTGACACTTACTTTTTTATCTCAATTAAAAACCTTAATTAATTGAATTATTATTACTGTACGTAAGTATACATTCTTATGTAAATCTGTTATTAAAAACGAGGATTAACGTTTGTTTGTGTTTAGTTTGTATTTTCTATTTTATCTTATCCAACTAACAAGAATATGTCGGTTGATTTAATTAAAATTAAAAGAATAAGAATAAATTACAAATATCTTTATTCATCTTCAGTTTATTTAGATTAAAGAGCAGCGATGCAATGTGAAAGCAAAATGAAGCTGTACATTCACACTCTCTCTCTCTCTCTCTCTCTCTCTCTCTCTCTCTCTCTCTCTCTCTCTCTCGCAAAAAGGTTTGTAAAAAATAAATGGGGATTTGATCTCCTTCGAACCTACAACTGACTACACAAGTCAAGTTTAGGACGCGGTTTAGAACATCCAGTAAAAGTTGTGGAGAGTTTGCCCCCGAGGCAAGCCGGGCAATGTAGCGTTCTAATCCGCCTGCTACAGCTCTCTCCAGGCTTAATCTGATTTATTTAAGTACTGTTGACTTTTCGCTCAAAAAATAGAAAACATTGGACTATTTCTTTTAGTTTTTCCCTTATTAGGGCGTTTCGTACATTTTAATCTTAAGTACGACAAAAACTGTCCTCCTGGATTGAGAGGTATTCTGGAGACATTATTCAAATATGGGATGTTGGCTTTTAAAGAAAGTTTTCTCTCTCTCTCTCTCTCTCTCTCCCTCTCTCTCTCTCTCTCTCCCTCTCCTTTTCCTTGTTTTAAGGTTGTCAACAGCACATATTATACACGTCTAATTTGTTACTTACCTTAACTTGTTGATTCTGTATCGATTCTGTATTATTAAATCGATTATCCGTGGTTTCATGTATCTCAGAATAAAATGACTTACTAGGTAAAAAAAAAATTCCGAAGTCGATGACGTTCATTTTCAATATTAACAAAATTGAACATTAACAAAGCAAAAATCTTGAACATTCAAAATGTCCTTCTTTTTTATGAATGGATGAGAAGGTAGAAATCATATTTTATGAGATACGGGGTCTTTATACAATAAAGTTGTGAACATTTGAAGTAAATGATAACTGAAGTATCTCCAAATATCGTTCAATATGTCGAACAACATCCTGACGTTTTGATATCTGTTCTCGGGACAAGCTATCTATACGTAATTTGGTCGTTACCGATCATCATCATTTCCTTCCTATCTGTGTTTATCCGTCAGGCGAGTTTCACATGGGAATTTATTTTGATTGCCGGGAAAGATCCAATATTGATGAAAATCTCCAAACCAGACAGACAGACCAACACAGCGAGAATAGGCAGACCAGGATGTTCGGTATAACCCAATTGCAAGTGGCTCGCAGACCAGTCAGAAAAATCGCACCATTTAATATTCCTATCTGTTGTCCAAAATGTTAAAAGCTAACTATTATATTTTTGAAAATTCGTATATGATTTAAAAAATAAAAAAATGTGTAATTCATTAAATTAATGCAATCTAACTGCTTCTGTTTCTGTTTGAATTTACTGTTTACAAACTTCGTTACAAACTGTTTCGTTAAAATGTTTAAATTTATGTGAAAACATGCAAAAATTAAGCAAGTAGAAATGGTTTGTTGCGTGTGATTTTGAATGAACAAAACAAAACAACAAATTTTGTTGAATGATTCATTTAGAAACGAAAAATACGTTGATTTTTGACTAAATGAATTAATTTCCCGTGTATGAGTCTAATTTTCTCCCATAAAACATATACCAACTAAGGTGGTATATGTTATGGTTGGCGCGGGGAAATAGCAATTTGAACACCAAAAACCTTTTAATTCCAAATACTTTCATTACGAAAGATATTCGTAAATCCTCCCATCCCAGTGCCAAAGGAAATCTGAAATAAAAAGAGAAGTGGGAAAACGGATTTTCTCGCTGCCGAAAATGGAAAACCGCCTAATTTCCTGGCCAGCGCAACCCGGTTTGCGTTCCGGAGGTTGGGTGAAATTAGAAAAGGCATAAATATCCCATTGTGACAGATCCAATTTTAGAACATCCCCCTCCCACTACTGACGCGGTGTTCTTATGTTTTATTCCGAGCACGATTCGTCACCCATTGCATGCGCAACATTAAAATGCATGTGACCCGAAAACGACTTAATTCATCTCAGCAGCATTAGACGTGATGTTTTTAAGCCCGATTTCTGCGGCGCTCTATGGCTTATTCATGGCGCTGCTCTTTCTGAATGTTTACACGCACTCGATTGGGAATTTTAAAAAGATACATATTTATGCTATCATGGAACGATGTTATACTCCAATAATTATGTTAGATCAATACAGAATTTGACTTGCACATCATAGATATAAAATATATAACCGGTACTAAGTTAAGTTTATTAGTTTCTAAGTATATAATATAAGTAGTAGAGAGTCTTTTACCGTTTGAAAGCTTATTAAATGTAAACTTTTCGTAAAGTTTGGCAATATCTAGAATTAAATCCTTAAATAAGGGCATACCAGATTGTACAAAAAATAAAAATTGGTGGTAGTCGAGCATTTATTAAGGTTCTTGTTTGAAAATTATTTCCGATGAAGATAGTTTATCACTCTGGTGAGGTAAGTTTCTTTGGAAAAACTAACAAAAAATCGTAAATTGTCAAGGAATGAAGAGAGGGATAGTATCTATGGGAGGAATTTGTTGCAAATACATATACATATCCTTCCACCCTTCCGATCTTCACTCGGCCATTCTCCATTCATCCATAGATCTCTCTCTCCATAGATCCAAAAAGACCTAAACTCCATCAACGAATGGGCCCATAAAAATTCCCTAGTCCTCAATCCGTCCAAATCCACCGCCATAATTATCGGGTCCAGGCAACTCCTCAATACCCTCCCCAACATCCCACCTCTCATGGTAAATAACCATCCCATCCCCTTCTGCTCTTCGGTTAAAAATCTAGGAGTAGTTTTTGACCAAAACCTTTCCTGGCATTCTCACATTTCCCGCCATTCCATTGCCTCCCTCAGCCTGTTTCGTCGGTCCTGGCTTGTCTTACCTTTCTCCACCCGCAAACTCCTTGTATCTTCCCTTATACTTCCCTTCTTCGATTATAGCTGTTTGGCATACGGTGGACTCTCGGAGGGGGAGAACGCGCGATTGAAGTATTATGAATTGTTGCGTAAGATTTGTGTACGTCATCCCACGGAGATCTAGGGTGGTCCCAACTTTCCTGGCTATTCCCCTCCTTCCGTGCACAGTACTTCCTAGGTTGCTTTCTTTTCCAGTCCATCCACACTCGTCGTCCTCCTTACATCATCCAATCCCTCCAATTCAAGTCCTCACATCTCACTCGTAAGACCCGCTCGTCCACAATGGACCTTATCCTTCCGCAATATACAGCCGATACCTTCGAAAGATCCTTCCTGATCCGAACCCCTAAACTCTGGAACTCCATTCCCCTTTCTATTCGTCACGCTGCCTTCTTTTCCTCCTTTAAATCCCACCTGTATAATCAGCTCCTCTCCCTCCAAGCAGAGACCTCACGTTAACATTTCTTATTTTTGTTTAATATTCTCGTAATTTTCTCTTCTGGCTTGCCTTACTGGTATACATTGTGCCAAGATTTCTATCTTTATTTTACTTTTAACTTCATAGAAGGAACTTCCTTTATTTATTTCATGTAAATTATTCTTAGGGGACACCAGTCCCAGAAAAAAGTTATTTTTGTTCTTCTTCTTCTTCTTCCAATAGGGTGTACTGTCACCCAAAAATAATTGGAATTATATCTGCAACACCCTTCATTTGTGAGAAAAAAGAAAATGGGAAAGAAAGAAGAGTAAAAGTCGAGGAAATGGCGAGAGACATTGAGATAAAAAGGGGAGAATATCTTCGGTCTGTAATGATCTACGTGCAAGATAACCTAATACAACCTTCCCGAGTTATTCTGAAAAATCCAGCACCAAATTGATTTTTTTAAATACAACTTTGGTTGGATTTTTTCAAACTGTTTATGTCAACAACTGAAAAAAAAACTATCAATCCTTTTGTTTAGAAAAATGGCAAAAAGAGGTCAAACGCGAAAGGTTGGAGATTGAGATGGGGAGTTGGAGTCCAAATGGATCTAAGTCATTTTAGAGGAGCGGCGTATTGAGCCGAAGGTCGTGGGTTCGAATCCCGCTCGTGACGCTTACTTTTTCATCTCGACCAAGTCCTTGCATAAAAAGAATAATTACTTGTAAAATATAGTTGCGTGAAATTTCATGACTTTAAATGTTTTAATTTTGATTTCAGGTGGCGACCGGAGCAGGCATCATGTCCCATTTTGTCAATTTGGACATAGTCGTCCCAGAGGCGTTTATAGTCGGGGCTACCGAATACCACGTCGTGTTGGGAGGAACGATTAACTTGGTTTGCGTCATTGAAAAGGTAAGATTTTTAATTGAAAAAAAAATCTATGATAAAGGTAAAATGTGTATCTTGACCTAAAATATATTTCCAAATATATATCGATCTACTTTTCTTTACAATTGACGTCATTAATTCACTATCCATCAGTCAAATTACCAAATTTAATCTAAATTCCTAAACCCATTCCTGGTGTTTTGTTATATACTTAAATGAGATTATATTGTAAATAACGAAAGCCCAGTGCGACGGAAGACGTTTTGTAATCATGCTAAGCCCAGCCCGGAGGGACCTTTTCCAAAATCCCGCCGCTATTAAAACATTCATTTAATATCCTTCCGCCCAAGTCAAAATAAATACTGCGAAAGTTAATTAACTCCATAACCCACGGCATTGCACAGGTTCTGCAAATAATAATTTGCACTTGACATTTCTGCATTTTTTATAGATATATTTTCCCAATCATAAGCTCATTTCTGTTGTATTGTGTTTCGTGCTCTTCTCATATCGGGTAGCATCACTACAAAAAGAGTCTGTGTGTCAACCACATTTGGCCTGTTCTGAGTAAGGTGAGAAAAAGCACGTCTTCTTCACCTCAAATCTTCTGGCAGTACCAATCGTTTCTTTGATGATGATGATGGCTATACTAGGAAGGGGGTTTTGTGCTCCACAGGCACTGCAGCCTTCTGGCTTATTGTACCTTCCTGGTTCCCTAGTTCAATGTAATCGACTCAGTCCTTTTTCTAAGAAGTATTAGGTCATTGACAGCTGCTGCTAAAATTTCATTCCCTAGGTTTTTTTCTATATGCTAGGATAAGTCTTCAGTGAGCCGTTGTTTCGCATTAGAAGATGATATGTGTTGCTGTTTCTTCCTCCTCATTACGTAATCTGCAAATGGGATCATCGTTATTTATAAAAATGTTATGTTTAAGATGTTATCTCAGATGCCAGTGACCGGTTAATAGTCCTATCACTCCTCTGAGACTGGCCCTCTCCAACTGCACCAGTGAGGGAGTTTACCAGTCTTGGGAGGGTTGTTTTAGCATAAGTTTACGCTATCTAGCGCCGCTAGAGTTTATCCACTTCCCCATTTGTTTTATTTGGATCCATCCTGTGATGTAAGATTCTGTATTTGTTTCTGTTTTCCTAAGTCTAGGTTCGAGGGCTGTATATGGCCTTGAAGTTCCTCTGTAGACCATGTGACGGCTTTCTTGTTACAAAAAATTCCTTTTTGTTTAGGCACCTAAGATATCATAGGCTGTAAAGCACTCGATCGGGTTTCTTCGTTTGTTTTGGAGCCGTATGTATACCATGTATCTGACGCACTCCTGAGTTCTTTCTCTCCTTTATAGTCTGTTGGGATTTTATTAGTATGTTGTAAAGAATTAAATCTCCATTGCTAACAGTGGGCGTCTGATTTTATTAAATATGGTTATGTCTCGAAATCGTTTTGTTCCCATCCAATTTGATTGTTTTTGAAGCCTAAATAAACTTTTCCTACCTTCCCCTTGTATGAATTTTTCCAGTGGAGGGAAGTTTAGCAGAGATTCTAGTACATTTGTTTGGGTTGTCCTCATTGACCCTGTTATACATTGGTTTGCTAATATTCGTATGCTGCCTAGTGTTTGGGTAACTACTTTCTGTTGAGTTTTGGTCCACCAGATTAAAGATCCATAGGTAATTTTGGGTCTTATTACTGCCCTGTATAGCCAATTAGCCATTTTCGTTTTTAATCCCCAAGATTTGCCTAGGGTTCTTTTTGAGGTCATTAGCGATATTTTACTTCTTATTATATTATGCTGCAAGTGAGGGTCCAGCTTAACTTTTATCAAAGATTCCTAGGTATTTACCCACATTTTTTAACTGCACCATTTCATTAGAGAAGCATAGTTCTTTGTTTCCTTACTATTACGGATTCTCTCAACAAAATGTAGATTCGGTTTTTAGCTGTAAACGAATTGTTTAATTGTTTTAATTAACAATTACATTTGACTAGCCTAGCCGTAATATAAATAAAACGTACCTGACATTAATATTTGCTAAATAAACAGAAAAATGTACTGCTAAACACAGGAGAGGCATGAGATAGATGAAATTCACCATTTATCTTCATAACTTTCTAATCAATCAAAAATCACTCCCTTGATAAAACAGCGGGCCTCTTTTCGGGCGACGTTTTCATTTGTGTCTCTTTACAATCCCATTTCTCCTGTTGACAGCTTCTTTTCTCATTACAACGAATTGTACAAATTCGACCCCGCCCCTCTAAGACCGTGGAAAGCTGTGCTATGAATCAAATAGTACCACCTTTATTAAAATGGCACCGCCTGACCGATCCGGGACGTTTTAGCGAAATAATAATTAAAAGCCTAGTATTATACCAATATTAAGAGTCAAAAGCTGTAGGGTAGATATTCTCTTCTTAGAGGTGTTTAATTAAAACCGGCCTAATTGCTAGCTATTCTTCACCAACGAGCGTTTAAAGGGCTTGAAATGACTTCTCAAAATCTTTTGTATATAAAATAATTATTTACAATTCACTATTAGAAACAACTAAAAATGAGAACAAAAATAAATACTAAGGATTGTCTAATCAAAACTATCGTTAGTCTCACACAGAGAATTATTGACCAGGGTTGATTAAAAATTAATGATTGGTTTCAGGTGTGTAGACCAAAATGAAATAGTCTTATCTTTTTTTTCCAAGCTTTCGGCTTTTTTAAGTCTTCTCCAGGGTTCTACGGAAGGATAAACATAATAATTTTAATGGAATAGGCTCACAGTAAAACAATATTTGCAATGAATTTACGGATAGTTAATTAAACTCCCGTTAGTCTGTCTTAAATTAAATGGAAACATTATATCCCTTTTTTATTTTTATGTTTTTTAGTACGGTTGTTAGAGATAATTTTGGTTGTATACTTGTATAATATGGTGGTATACTCGCTGGGTTGGTTTATGCTTTATATGAATTCTGACAGACACACTGAAGACGGTGAAATTAGGTCGACGTAAGGACGCCCGCACCTTGCGCCTGGCCTTATCATACTTTGTTTTAAAATGCAATTCTACTTATGAAAGAATTAATTAAATCCACTAGTTTCGTGGTCCGCTTGACCAATTAATATCTTACAATTAATTAAGGTTTTTAATTGAGATAAAAAAGTCAATGGCACGGGCGGGATTCGAACCCACGACCTTCGGCAAGATACGCTGCTGCTCTACCACTTGAGCTATCGTGACCTCGATCCACTCAGACACCAACTTCCCATCTCAACCCCACTTTTTTTTATTTTCCCTCCTTTTTGCCATTTTTCATTGCCATTATGAGAGAATGGTGCTCTTCTCACAAGTTAACAGTGAGGAAAACGTCCTAAACCCTAAGGATCAAGACGAGTTTCTTCCCCCTTCCGTCGGGCGGATCAGCCTGACCAGCTCAGCACGGTGAGAACCTCAAAGGACTAAAATTTTTGTCGGAATCTCCCGGCGTACTCCCGACGATTGTATGGGTCGATTCATCACCCCGAGTGAAGAGGCTCTTCAACCTAATTACTTCCGAACAGGCCGGCACTGCTTTTCGTTTTAAGAGGAATGCTTACCACCAGGAAGTAGTTCGGTAGAGGTTTCTGGTAAACAGCACTACCTGGACGAAAGCTTACAAGCTATGCAATACAATGCAATACATACAGCTAAATTCAATACAATGGACACTAGTAAAAATTTGTATTATATAATTTCTATGTAGGGACAGCAAAATGAAAGAACAGTTGTTTGTGAGTTTGTTTTTAAATTTTAACCATTATTTCAATTAATTAATCTTTATGTAAAGTATTGGATGAGATAAAAAAGTCAGTGTCACGAGTGGGATTCGAACCCACGACCTTTGGCTAAATACGCCGCTGCTCTACCATTTGAGTTATCGTGACTTCTACTACTTTTTACCTCAACCAATACCTTACACAAAGATTAATTAATTGAAAGAAGTTATTTGGTCAATCGGACCAACAAATATAATGGATTTAATAAGTAAAACGAAGTATATCTTCACTAAAACTCTCCGTGACCATAGCATTTGTCGCCGAGAATCGAATCCTGACTACACGATATTTGAAAAATGGCAAAAAGGAGGGAAAATTCGAAAGGCAGGTTGAGATGGGAGGTTGGTGTCCGAGTGGAACGAAGTCACGATAGCGGTTGAGCAGCGGCGTATTTAGCCGAAGGTCGTGGGTTCGAATCCCCCTCATGACATTGGCATTTTTATCTCAAATACCTTACATAAAAATTATTTAATTGAAAGAAGTTATTTGGTCAATCGGACCACGAAATATTACGGATTTAACCATTATTTCCATTCCTTTGTAATATGTCAGCATTCCAGTTACCTTATATAAGAATTATCATTGGTTATAAAAACCAAGTTCTTAAGTTCCTTCGCTCTTGTAGATGTATATGTAGATGATTAGTCATACTGCGCCTTTTAAGAGCTAGTACCCCCTGTTTTGTGCGTATAGCACGTCCCAAAGCACTTCCTCCTGCGTGCAAGTGTAGCATCAGAGTTATGTGTGTGTGAGTTGTTTAGGTGTGTTGGTGTTTCCTCTGGTTCTTTGCAATCGCCGTGTTGGGCGAACAATCTTCTTCAGATGTCCATTTAGTTAACAGTGTCCTACTAAGAATCTTGAATTTTCCTACTTCCCTTAAAACATTCTGTTACATTTTTTTCCAAAATTTGTTAGGAAGTTCTTAGATTCTTTATGTCCAATGAGTGAGTCCCAAAAAAGAGTTTGATTCTTGTAAAAGTTGTCTACTTTATTTGTTATTTGTTTTGGTGTATACAATGTATAATGATGAGGTATAGGCAAGCAAGATGTGTAAACATTCATTTAAACAAATATTATTATGCATTGAATAAATTAATTCAAATCATTTTGTACTTTGATTTGGTTGTTTTTTATGTAGACGAAGCCTTTTAAGTTTACTAGAAACAAGAATTTTTGTTCTTGAAATTGTTTAATTTAGTTGAC